CATGGTCAACATGCACATGCATGCACATGTGCGCATGCGCAAAGCGTAAAATGACAAATATACTTGATATACTCGAACTTTTATACTTTTTGATGAGATGCTTTGATACTCAAAATTTTTATATATATTAAAAGTGTAGACAAGACGACATGGTCATCGTGCACATGCATGCATGCATGCATGCACGTGCGTGCGCGTGCAATGTGTTAAATGACCAATATACTTAATATAGCCGTAATTTTTATATTTTTTTATGAAAAGCTTTGATATTAAGAATATACAGATATATTAAAAGTGTAGACAAGATGATGTGGACATCATGCTCATGAATGCACATGCGCGCGCGTGCAATGTGTTAAATGACCAATATACTTAATGTAGCCATAACTTTTATATTTTTTTATGAAAAGCTTTGATACTAAGAATAAACCGACATATTATAAGTGTAGACAAAATGGCATGGTCATTATGAACATGCATGCAGGTGCGCATGCGTGCAATGCTAAGATGACCAATATACTTGATATAGCTGGAACTTATTTATTTTTTGATGAAATGTTTTAATACTGAGAATATAAAGATGCATTAATAGTATAGATGAGATGACATGGTCATCCTGCACATGCATGCACGTGCGCGCGCGTGAAATGCAAAAAACTATCAATATACTTCATTGGCTTATTTAATGAAGCTTACAGGAAATAAGACACCAAAAGGGTGTTGGGGAGCGTTTGGGGAACATCTGTAACGGTCCCCGTTACAATTATAACTAGTTAGTTATTGTCATCTGTAAATGGTTACAGATGAAAAGGTTTCTCTTTGTGATGTATGAATGGACTTGATAGAAGTTTAAATGGGGAAAATTTTTACTGTGTAATGATTGACGCCCAAAGCGGGAATGTTTTTCATTTGATAAAATAAAATGTGGATTTCATGCATTATTATCAATATTGTATAGGGTTCAAACACAAACGTTAAAAATATTTATTGATAGGAAAAGTCGAAATCGAATTAAACCTAATAAAGGAGAAACAAGGCACTAATATTTAAATATATCTTTGTTACCTTAATTTTCAATTTACTGTTAATTCTTCACTTCTTTTGCTGGAAAAAATAAAAGCGAAATAATTTTCCAAGACTGCACATCTGTGTTTAAGAGTATATGTTTATATAAGGTTAAACACTTTTTACTCCAACTCTCATATTTTTCTAATATTTGCGCCACTCCACCTTGAGCAGATGGTTTCTATAGAAACAAAAAGAATATCTTTAAAAAAAATCTGTTGACGAAATAATATTATTTTAATCTTGTATGTGGATAAGAGGGGTTAAGTTGGAGTATTTTGTGTTTCATTTTTCAAAACCGGGAAGGACTTGTGCTTATATAGGTTTCGCTAGCTATCGGATGTATCTCTCTGGGGACACTTGTGCCTTGCATGATAATTGTAAGGACTTCACGTGTTCTAAATATTAAAATTGCAATTTTACACCATATATTTCATTGAAACTCCAATTTTAAAAAAAACTTTCTGTGATGTCAGTTTTAGCCTAATACCAATTATTATATTCACTGAATTATGCAGAATTATTCAGGTCTAAAAATATTAAACAGAATGATACATTAATCAATAAACATAATTTATGAAATCATCAAGACAACATTTCTAGCTTGAAATTACTATGACTTCTTAACATTCTTAACACATTAGAGTTGTAAAATTTTGATTTCGCGTTTGACGTCCGATATCACTGAAACACCTGCAGATAAAATGATATTGAAATTATGTGAAGAAACTGCAAAGCCAGGGCTCTCACTGCCCTTTTTTGGTACAGGGTCCAGGTCCCACCAGATTGGGAAAATTATCAATGTTTTGGGAAAACTTACTTTTATACAATGATTAAAAAACTATTAAAACATGAATTGATTGTTTGTATGTCTGTTTATTGGACCCAAATCAGAGAGATTTACGGCCCTGAAAGCAATATACATTTCATGGTGTTTTAGTCATAAAATAACGTTAGCCTTTAGGAAAATGCTAATTTAAATAAAAAATATAGTAGAAAAAATTAAAAAAGGACTCACCTATGACCAAGTACAGTACATGTATCTTAAAATTTGAATAAATAAAAAAAGGATCGTCAAGTATCAGACTATATACATGTAAATTAAATGCAAACAAACACTAATACACTATATATGTTATTGCCATTGCCGCATGTAAGGGACCTATCTATATACTGGTGTCTGACACACTTTCCCTCTTCCACAGAATCCTCTTTTATTTTAATCAGTTACCAGTTACTTTTGGAGAATGATTGGTGGTGTCCCTTAGATATGCAATAAGGTTTCGGAATTTTCATTTTCACCCTGAATGACATTTTCCTTCAGTAGCTCTTACATTTAACGTAGAAGCAAAATCCTTTTGGGGGAGATTATATGTGGTTTCCTGTAGATGTGCATTAAGGATTTGCAATTTTAATTTTCACCTGGGGCCAAATGCCCTCCCCTCCCCCCCCCCCCCCCCGAAAAAAATTCCTGGTTCCAAGAATTCCTCCTGCAATTTACACAGTAGCCAAATCATCCCGGTGTTATGTTAATGAGCAATAGGGTATCAGCATTTTCATTTTCACTCTTGCGGTCCAATGAGGGTCGATAAATACTATTTTTCTACAAAAAAAATCCCTGGTTCCGAGAACTCCACTAACATTTTACACAGTAGTCATATCATTTTTGAACGCTAGGTGATTGATGGTGTCTATGTAGATGTGCAATAAGGTGTGGCCTCACCCTACTCCTGGGGGTCATGATTTGAAAAAAAAATTAATCTATACTACCTGAGGATGCCCGCGTGGCGCAGTAATTAGAGTGTTTGCTCTAGAGTCACGGTTTAAGGCATTAATCCATACGCTGCGGGTTCGAATCCAACTGCGGGAGGTTGAGACCGGTACTTTGGATGAGACTGTATAAATCGAGGTCCCGTGTGAAAGTAGATGCTGGCACAAAAAATCCTTCACTGCTCAATGGCACTGAAAGCCGAGTATGAGTCTAAATTTGCAGCTCTCCACCGGCAAGTGGTGGCGTCTCAATATGAGTGAAAAATTCGAGAGAGGGACGTTAAACAACAAAAAATAAACTAACCCTGAGGATGCCTCTATATAATTATGACTAGTCTCTTGGCTTTGTTATTCTTAAGAAGAAGAAATTTGTCAATATATTCGTAAGTACAACTTTGAATGCCAATTTTGGCCCAAGTCCATTTCACAAGGTCATGATTTAAAAAATTGAATCTATCAGAGAGCTTCTTTTTGAATATGAGTAATCATGATTTTTCCTATAAAGTCCTTTGTAAAATTTTGCAGGATGTCGGTAAATTATTTTAATATGTTTATTTTCCTACATCGTGTGGATTCAGTTTGTTTCAATTTAAGACAATTTTAGGCACCGTGATAATTAAAATTTCTATGAGATTGGATGCATATTTGGTTACGTCACACGCTTAAAGCTTGGTACTAGAATACAATGTTTTTATTTTGTTTTATTTATTACTGTGGATCCTTAATGTGCTGTATTATACTAAAATGACTTTTAAGGACCCTTGACGTCTTGTTTCAGTCTAAAAATCTGTTTCTTTTTTTTTTTTAGATGGACCTTAATAAATACTCAGTGTTAAAATTTCTGCTACTGTGTCTGGCAATCGAATCAGAGCAGCTTAGCCAAATCACGTCTTGTCAAATTGAAGAAGGTTATATCGAAACCCACAAACGTATGATCCAACAGCTTATATCAAACGAGCAGGCAAGACTCGTTTATGTGAACGTAACATCAGAATCGTACAAAAGTATTTCTATGGAACAAACTGAATGGAATAGAGTGTATGATTGGATCTGGATAACTGAGAATTATAGACACTATTTAAGCTATCCAGATGATATTGATGTTTATACCTTTGGAGTTATGAGAGTTGGCATTCATAAATTAAGCCTTAATATCTCAATGAACAACATACTGACTTGTAAGAAAAAAAACCTTTGGAAACGAGTTTACAACTATCTTCAACGTCTGCAAAATGGAACTGGAGGGGGTTATTTCTGTCACAGAAATTTTGAAAATCAAGACTGGAAAAGTTTTTTGTATACAATGTCAAGTGCATCAATTGGGTATGATTTTGAGTGTTACAACAGAGACATTACAGATGAGACTCTACTGATTAGAACGTCCATAATCACGTATATAACCGTCGTCATTATTTTTTTTCTCTTTGCATATTATCCTTTGATAATATCTCTTTCCTTTCATGGACGAAAAATAAGTGAGCAACTGAAATTTTTCACGATGGCCGATTATCCTTATACACCTCGAAGATGTTTACTGCATATAATTTTCAAATCCAGTAAACTGAAGCGAAAAGGAAACAACTTAGATCAAAGTCTTTCTAGCGGAACTCGTCTGTCATTCCTTTTGGCTTTGGTCACCGGATTGTCATTCGCTATGAAAATGATATTTGTCAAGAATTATTCTTTGTTACCACCTAATGCATATGTTTTTCCCTATCTTTTTAACTGTGTTGGGTTGCAGTATAATATGAATATAGTTGCTTTTATGATTTCTACTTGCTTTAGTTTACTTGTGGTTGTTACGATAAATAGTTACTTAATTCATTTCGTTGAATCAATGACTGATCGTTTTATATTTATTAGACTTTCATCTCTTAACTGCACAGTAATTCCAGTTTCTGATTTTCTTAAAATGAAAAGGAAAGAGAGGACAATGGCTGCAGTAGTTGTAGATAGGTTTCGGCTGATTTTTTCTGTAAAGTTCTGGAGCAAAGTATACCTCTTACCATTCGTTGGCCAAAACAATTCAATATCTAATTTTTCATTTTACGTAAGATTATTTTTATCTGTAATTGATTTTCTCATAAATGTACCGCTCATATTGTTGTTTAGTATTTTCCCATTCGTTAATCAAATATATCATTTTATAATCTATATGTTAAAGGCATTTAAATTCTGTACAAGTGGACGATGTTCCAACCTCTCTGCAATATTATCCCTTATTTTCACTCCATTATTAATAATCGCCTTGTCATTTGATATAGTTTACATAGGAGTGAGCTGTATTGTTCAATTTTTAATTTATTTCTTCTTAGTAGCAATTCCTCATTTGTATTCAACTCAAATTCACATTTTTTTATTTGTCATGGCAATTCTATCTTACATGAGCAAATATTTTGTAGAATTTTTTAAGCTCTATCGAACACTGTTACAAAAAATAATTCAGCTTAAAAAATCTCACGAGATTTTGATAAAAGATTTTGATTACGTTATTGCCCAGTGTTGCCCAGTACAGATTGAAGTATTTTTCCTTTTGATGAAGGTGATTCTAACGACATGCTTACTCCTGATTATATATAAAACTCTATCTGAAGTAAATTTCTTAGATAACCAATCATCCATTAATTTAAACACGATAATGATGTACGGATTTATTTTTCTTACCCCTGGAATTCTTGAAATTTTATTTTTTGAGAGTAATACCGACAAAGTTGAAAGAATACACTTCGAGCTAGATAACCTAATAAGGATATTATTAAATGTAGACGAATCTGAAAGCGAAGATGATCCTGAAGTAGAAAATAATGTTGACAAAGAGATGGGGCTGTGCATGTTCTGCATTAAAAACGTATGTCTTTGTTGCTGCGGATGTATAGAAAATCCTGTAACTGATGAAGGCAATTGTAGGTGCTGCTATAGTCTTGACGAAAGAGACTCGGGTTCAAATGAAGGGTCGATGTTCTCCGAAACTCACGTGTCCTTTTGCACGTGCGAATATCGCAGAAATGAGTACATGCACATCAGAGATGGCAGTGTTACTACTTAATATTTACTCAGCAAAAAAGGCCGAGATTCCTAAATATCATACTTTGCATAAAACATAATAGTATCAATATATGAAACTTAAAATACGAAAGTAATTTTTTCCGCGTTCGTTGAATCACCCGCTAGCATTTTTGCGTCCAGGCTTAACTGACAAGTACAGTTAGAATTGAAAAATTCATATACATCTAGTGAAACAGTAGGGTTAAGGACCCTGTCTACACTGCACCCTATTTTCAGGGTACTTTTGTTTGACATATAGGTAAAATAAATTGTAATCTGAATTGTATCAATAATTTTAAATAAATCCAAGTATTCTAAACATTATATTAGACCAAGATGAGTATTTGAAAACTTTATTTGCTTGTATTTTATCCATTTGAGTAAGCGAAGGCAATTTTTCTTTTCTATTACTTCAATGTCTTTGAAGATATTTCCTGAATAAAAAAAGCACCTCCCTATATTAAAAATGAGTTAATTTCAAAATATCCTCCTTTATGTTATATAATTTTCTCAAAGTCCAAAAAACATTTTTCATCAGTATATAGAGGGTTCTTAAATATATACTTATTTGGTATAAATGTACAAACTGTATCAAAAGGCGCAAATGTGTCCTATAATTCAGGAATCCGATAATATTGATTGAGTTTTGAAATGTTTTTTAACTTATCAATATTTGTTCTGTGCAATAAACTTATTGCCCATTCATCGGGTTGCACTTAAGCTCTTTTGGATAGATAGGTATACCAGGCGCCTGGGCCATAAAACGTAGACGAGCTCACTTTTGATCTCAGTCTCACTTTTACCAAATGAAATAATAGTGGAAAAGTGAGACTGAGATCAAAAGTGAGATCATCTAAGTTTTATGGCCCCGAGGCCAGGAGTCTAAAATCAAGTGGTCAATATGGAAAACAAAGAAGGAAGAGCATCAAGTATAAAGATAAAAAAAATACTTCAATGCTCCAGAAAGCGTCCATGAAAGAAATGAAATATATGGAGATAACGAAGAGTATTCAAGCTCAAAAGTCCATTAATCAATACAAAATAGGAGCAGAGCAAACACGGACCTCCAAACATCAGAGGTGGTATCAGGTGCCATGGAGGAGTGAGCATCCCCTGCCGACCGGTCACACCCGTGTGCTCCTTGTCATGATCGGGAAATAACGGAAAAATACGTCGACAATTCAGTGTGTAAATAATGGCCTAACAATTAGTATGAAAAACGTCAGTTAGCATTTGACTCAATGATAAATTGTATTTGCTGACAAGGTCATTGTATCGACCATAGAACTTACGAAATGATGACTTTAAACGAGACAGCTGATATTCTTGTTTCATCAACTTATTTGTCAATAATTTACCTCGTTTTAGAAATTGTACATACGTAGAGCATGCTCTTGCGTATCGAATCAACTGAGAGATATATACCCCGTATGCAGGTGATGAAGGTATATTGCTGCATAAGTAAGGGAAGTTGACGATTGAAAAGTTAAAGTCATCGCGTTTATCATAAAGCTTGGTTGTTAGATTACCATTAACGTCTTTTTCAAGTAAAATATCCAAATATGAAACAGATGTGTCAGACATGAAATGTTTTCCACCTGTTCAAAGTATAAATACAAATGAAATGGAGATATAAAAATTGTGACAGTATTCTATATATGTATAATGATTACTCCCTATCATTATTATGCATGATACAATGACTGCTCCCTTGTCACGTGTTCAATAAAAGTGGAAGCCATGCCAAAGCCATGCTTGTTGTTCCTTATGAATTCAAGAGTTGATTTATGATCGTGAAACATGGTGTCAGAAGTGTTTACTGAATCCTTATGGTGAGTCAAACGTCTTGATCGCCTGTCATTTGTTTAAATTGCTCCAAATATTGAAGAATCTACCCGATTTTCCTTTGGACCGAATTTCCTCTGTTCGTAACAAACAATACCTGAAGAGAATGAGCAAGTTGAAGCAGCTCCTGCTGCAGTACAAAATTTACATGTTTTTCCTATGAATATACCATTTCCTAAGCCCTTAGATTTGAAAGGTGACCTCGCTACCAACTGGAAACATTTCAAAAGAGTGTGGGAAAACTATGAGATCGCTACGGGGTTAAGGGAGAGAGATACCCAACTCAGATGTGCAACATTTTTCACTTGTCTAGGGTCTGATGGTTTACACGTTGTAGATGGACTAAAATTTGATACAGATGACGATAAGAAAGATATTGATAAGGTTATTACAGCACTTGACACTTACTGCGTAGGTCAAACAAACGTCATATATGAGCGTTACACATTTAACTGTAGAAATCAGGAACAGTCTGAACATATAGATGCTTATGTTGCAGAATTGCGTACACTAGCGAAAACATGCAAATTCGGAGACATAGAGGATGAGATGATAAGGGATTGTATCGTTATCGGAGTTCGAGATAACCATACCCGTAAAAAGTTGTTACAGGAGAAGAAACTGGACCTTCAGCGTTGCATAGATATATGCCGGTCGAATGAGAAATCTGAATCTCAACTCAAATCTATTGCAGATGTTCACCATGTCAAGGTCAAACAGAAAGTGAAACAAGAAAATCATGGTAAAAATGAGAAACGTAGAGGCAACCGCACACAAACCATACCAACTGTTCAGTCTTGTCGTTACTGTGGGAGAACACATCCGCGCAGTCGGCCGGAAAAGTGCCCAGCATTTGGACAGACTTGCAACTTATGTGGCGAGCAGAACCATTTTGAGAGGAAATGTCCTAATTAAGAGCCTCCCAGAGCAAAACATCATGAAAAACGTCATGGTACATGGAACCACAGAAAGTCCCAAGTTCATGAGATTGAGACTCGTGAAAGTTACTCATCAGATGAACTCGTTCTTAGTATTGAACAAGTGAACTCGCTATCATCAAAACGTCATACGGCTGTTATGAATATCCATGATAAATATGTGGAGTTTCAGTTGGACAATGGGTCTACAGCTAATATCTTATCAGCTCATGTGTATGTGCGTCTCACAGGTGACAAAGAATTCCAGAATCTTAAGAAAACTGATGTTACCCTACAGATGTACAACAAATCAGAAACCAAGGCTTTGGGCACCATTAGAATGTCTGTTCGAAATCCGTGTAATGGAAAGAAGTATAATCTAGAATTCGTTATTGTGCCAGGCAAACAGCTACATTGTATTTTGGGTAAGCGAGCTATTGAAGGAATGGAACTTATTACTGTGCATACTGACAAATTCCTCACAAAGACACAAGTTCAGAATGACGTCATTTCACAGATTGACATTAAAGAAGAAATAAATGAGAAGTATGCAAATGTGTTCAAGGATCTAGGTAAACTGGATGGCAAGCTTCATTTGGAGGTCAAGGACAGTGTGCGACCTGTACAGTTACCGCCTAGGAAAATACCGTTAGCCTTGAAGCCAAAAGTGAAAGAAGAGCTAAACCGAGTGGAGAAGTTAGGTGTCATTAAACCAGTTAACACACCAACCGACTGGGTATCTGCCTTAGTGGTGGCTCCTAAACGCAACGGTGACATTTGCCTATGTATTGACCCGAAACCACTCAATGAGGCATTAATGCGGAACCATTACCCAACACCTGCTATAGAGGATATTCTACCAGAATTGCATCAAGCTCGTATATTCTCCATTGTTGATGCAAAGGATGGTTTTTGGCACGTTGAGCTTGACAGTGATAGCAGCTACCTAACTACATTTGCTACGCCATGGGGCAAATATCGCTGGTTGAGGATGCCATTTGGTATCTCTGTCGCACCTGAGGAGTTCCAAAGGAGAATGGACGACGCCTTAAGTGGCATTCCAGGTATAAGACCTATACACGATGATGTGTTAATTTACGGATGTGGTGAGACAGATGAAGAAGCTGAAAGGGATCATGATGTGAAATTTCGAGCCCTAATGCAGAGATGTATGGAGAGAAGCATAAAGCTTAACCAGAGTAAGATGAAACTTAAGCTTACATCTGTTACTTATCTTGGATATGTGATCAGCAAGGATGGGTTGAGTGTTGACCCACAAAAACTCAAGGCGATACATGAAATGCCTACCCCAGAAGACAAGGCAGGAGTTCAGAGATTATTGGGAATGACAAATTTTGTGCAACGTTTTGCACCGCAGTTGTCTGAGATCACCAGTCCACTTCGAGATCTTCTGAGAGAAGAGACTCATTTTGCATGGGATCCGGATATCCACGGACAAGCATTTGACAAGGTCAAGGACACATTGTCTCGTGCACCTGTTCTTAAATTCTTTGATGCAAAGAAGAAACTGACTTTGCAATGTGATGCTTCTTCTACTGGACTAGGCGCATGCCTCATGCAAGATAATCATCCGATCGCATATGCTTCACGTTCTCTAACAGCCACAGAACAGAACTATGCACAGATAGAGAAGGAGACTTTAGCCGCAGTGTTTGGCATGGAACATTTTGAAAATTATACATATGGACGACATATTATGATACAGTCGGATCATAAACCCCTAGAAATCATTGTACGTAAAAACCTGCATAATGCTCCCAAGCGTCTACAGAGAATGCTATTCAGATTGCAGAAATTTGACTACAGCATTGAGTACAAAAAGGGCACAGAGATGTATTTTGCTGACACTTTAAGTAGAGCCTATCTTATCACTGACTCTGATTCAGTTGAAGAGAACATGCATGACATACACAGCATCAACCACCGCACCTACTTAGCAACATCTGATGAACGATATTCACAGATAAAGGAAGCTACAGAAAAAGATGAAGCTGTACAGTTGCTGAAGAAGATTATACTTGATGGATGGCCTGACTCTTCGAAAGAAGTCCACCCTGATATACAAGTGTATTTTCCGTTTAGAGAGGAGTTAGTCGTTCAAAACGGTGTCATCTACAAGGCCGAGTTGTCTTTCCTAGGTCTATCACACATAGTATAATACAGCGTATACATAACTCTCATATTGGTATCCAAGGATGTATCCGTCGTGCCCAGGACTATGTCTACTGGCCAAATATGTCGAAGGACATTGAATCGTACATTGGTCAATGTGCTGCATGTAATACTTACCAGGATGATCAACAGAAGGAGCCTATGATCAGCCATGAGATTCCTATTCGTCCTTGGCAAACAATAGGATGTAATCTGTTTGAATGTGAAAGCAAAGATTACCTCATACTCGCAGATTACTATTCAGATTACTTTGAGGTGGAGAGACTTCATAGTAAAACAGGAAGTTCAATCATTCGCATGATGAAATCACAGTTCGCACGTCATGGAATCCCAGATAGGGTAATATCTGACAATGGACCGCCATTTGGAAGTCGAGAGTTTGCAGAATTCAGTAAAAGTTATGAATTCGAGCATGTTACATCGTCCCCTAGATATGCACAATCTAATGGCAAGGCCGAGAACTCTGTAAAGATTGCCAAACGGCTTATTCATAAGTATGCAATGGACGGTAAAGATCCAATTTTGGCGCTTCTGGATCTACGCAATACGCCTACTCAAGGAATAGGCTACTCACATGCACAACGGATTTTTGATAGACGCACCAAAACGCTATTACCAGTAGCTGAACATCTACTCAGACCACGTTATGCTGACCGCACCAGGGAAATGCTCTATGAACGCAAGGAACGTCAGACATACTATTATAATCGAGGAGCTAAGGAGCTGAAACCATTATCAGAAGGAGATACCGTTAGTATTAGACCTACAGGAAATGAAAAGTGATGGAGAAAAGCATTTGTTCAGGAACAGAGTGATATACGTTCATACAAAGTGAGAACCGAGGATGGTCGTGTATAACGACGCAATCGACGTCATCTCCGATTTAGTCGAAAACCATTCCGCCCTGATCATGAAAATTCAGAGCCTGAAATGTTGACTGAACAATCACAATGCAATGATGACCCAGTTCCTATAATAGTCAGTAATGAAGCAAAACCAGCTCCATTAACATCAGAATTACGCAATACACAAGATTCCGTACCCGTTCAGCATCCCAAGCAACCAGTATCATCAAGTCCAATGAAAACACGTAGTGGTCGTGTAGTTGTGAAACCAATGCGTTACCGTGATGTGTAGGGCAAAGGCAGATAGTGAAAGAGGTAATAATAACTCCTCGTCTACCTATTTCTAAGTTTAGCTTAGACTTCATGTAAATAATTACTTGCCTTAGTCAAAACTTACTGTTGTAGTTTAGTTTGCAAAGGAAGACTGTGTTGAGGGCATAATAATCCCTAGTCTCCTTAACAGGGCAAATAGCCTTGTATTTGCTAGTCAGTCTTGATTGTTATTAAATTTTGTTTCTCATTCTCTGACATAATATTTCATGTTGAATGTACACACTGTTTGTTTAATGTTTAATTATTATAGTGATTTGGTCATGGTTTTCAAACACTCAAATGGACAATCATTCAAGGACAGTAAAGTTTCAGTATTAGTAGAAATTTGTAAACTAACATTTTAAAGAAAGGGGGGTGTGACAGTATTCTATATATGTATAATGATTACTCCCTATCATTATTATGCATGATACAATGACTGCTCCCTTGTCACGTGTTCAATAAAAGTGGAAGCCATGCCAAAGCCATGCTTGTTGTTCCTTATGAATTCAAGAGTTGATTTATGAACAAGTACATCGTGAAACAAAAATAACATTAAATATGCTTAAAGAATTCGATGAATTGTTACCTGTTTTCCATACTCCATCTTCAAATTAATTACAATCATGTTTTCTTTTTATACAATGAATTAACTTTATCTGCTAAACTATTATTGCAAAATTCATGAATTATACGAGGTATGTATATTCAAACAGAAATTCAGAACCAAATTTGAGTCGGAATAGATGTTTACTGTACGTCATTCTGTTCAAAATGTGTGACTATATTTAAATGTAAAGCACCCTGAGTGGTACTTTGGGTCAACTAATATCTTGTTAAAAGAGGGAGCTTAGTCAGGGCCCCATCCCTGGTAGCTGCCCCATATTACCTTTGATGATATAGTTCTGTGAAATACATGTTTATAGGAAACAAGAGGCCCAAGGGCCTTAACGGTCACCTGAGCACAACAATTTAGAGATCCATAAACTGATAAATGAAGCTTTAATTGTTGCCCAATAGCAAGAAAATTAGTATGATAAAGATCAAAAAAATAATTGGTCTAGTATCTTTCTATCTGTCCCCCATTTATCACTATTACCATGCAGACTTTTAACAAAATGTCTATATTATTACCCCTCACATTGGCCTCAATTGGCCTTTGAAGAACATTTACGAAGATAAGTTATTTTTGTTTCATTTTTATTTATCTATTATTTCCAAGTCTACCTAATTATTAAAACTATGAAAGTACTTTTTATATTATACAATAAATGTTCTTGCATAATTCTCTTATTCTATTAACCTTTCAAATACATTATCAACAGTGATTAATTATCAAAAGTGAATGGCAAAGGGGAATAACTTCACTCAATAGAATACAAATTAATAGAGTCCTGGCCAGGACCAGAACACTTGACTAAATGGTCCAGATGTTGAAAATTTACAAATTTGGAAAAGGTAACCTCATCATCATAACTATGCAATTAGTTGAAGATTTTCAAAGAATTCACACATTTTCACTATATTATCAAATAGAGCCCCCCCCCCCCCCCCTCTCAGAGAAACAACAGAACCCCTGGGACCACAAGTTTTAAAAATTTTGTAAAAGCATCCTTGCTCATCATAACTATACACTTGTTTCTTTGCTTTATAACCAGGAGTAAAAAAAATATTTTGAAAGAAATTATGAATTTTCACCATATAATCAATAGAGTCCCCCCCCCCCTTTCACCAGAACCCCTGACCCAGGGGCCATAAAATTCACAATTTTGGACGAGGCAGCCATGCTCATCATAACGATGTACTAAGTTACTTTATTTCATACCCAGGAGCAGAGGAGAAGATTTTCAAAGATTTAATGCATTTTCACTATATAATCAATAGAGCCCCACCCTAAAGCCAGAACCCCTGCCCCAGGGGCCACGAATTCACAATTTTGGAAGAAGCAGCTATGTTCATCATAACAATGTACTTAGTTACTTTATTTAATACTCAAGAGCAGAGAATAAGATTTTCAAAGATATAATGCATTTTCACTATATAATCAATAGAGCCCCGCCCTAACACTAGAACCCCTGACCCAGGGGCCATAAAATTCACAATTTTGGAAGAGGCAGCCATGCTCATTATAACTATATACTTAATTACTTTATTTCATACCCAGGAGCAGAGGAGAAGATTTTCAAAGATTTAATGCATTTTCACTATATAATCAAATAGAGCCCCACCCTAACACCAGAACCCCTGACCCAGGGGTCATGAAATTCAAAAGTTTGGAAGAGACACTCTTGCTCTACATAACTATGTACTTAGTTAGTTTATTTAATACCCAGGAGCAGAGAAGAAGATTTTCAAGGAATTAATGCATTTTCACTATATAATCAATAGAACCCCACCCTAACACCAGAACCCCTGACCCAGGGGCCATGAAATTTACAATTTTGGAAGAGGCAGTCTTGCTCTACATAACTATGTACTTAGTTAGTTTTTCTAATACCCAGGAGCAGAGAAGAAGATTTTCAAAGAAATAATGCACTTTCACTATATGATCTATATAGCCCCGCCCTAGCACCAGAACCCTGACCCTGGGGCCATGAATTTCACAATTTTGGTAGAGGGCTCAATGCTTATTACAAACATGCCAACAGTTTGACTGCTTGGTGTCCAGGAGGAAAGAAGAAGATTTTTAAAGATTGCATTAATTTTGGTGGTTTTAGCCCCACTCCTCAGGCCCAGGGGGGCAGGGACCATGAAATTCAAAATTTTTGTCCCCCTTCACCCATAGATCCTATATGCCAAAATTGGTTGAAATTGGTTGAGCGGTTTCAGAGAAGAAGCTGAAAATGTTTAAATGTTAACGCATGACGGACGACGCACGACGACGGACAAAAACGGATAGCAATAGGTCACCTGAGTGACTCAGGTGACCTAAAAATGCAAAACATCCACGGTTGTCATGGGAATATAGAGTAAAAATCTTTCTTATTGTTCTTAGGAGAAAAACACATTGACCAATATAATTGAGTTGAGCGCTGTGGTAAAAATGTTACTTGTTTTAAATGATGGTTGTATTCATCAAAACTTGATTATGGACTATTTCCAGTATTGTACAATAGATGTTGTGATATTTGTTGTTTTTTTTTTCATTTGATAAACTCTATGTGTTGTAACTGCTTATATTTTATTTTTGATCATTCTAATATATTTGTAATGTAAATAGAGCAAATGACAATTTTTTAACCTCTATTTGGTATTATTCTTGCATGAAGTATATGTACAAAGAATAATGTATGAAAAGGTCTCTGATTGTCTTTGAACGTACAGTTTGTTTACGAATGTCATTCTGTAATAATAAATAATACAAAGGATGATTTTATCATTGTTAATGACCGACGTCAAAGTAATTACAACTAGCTTTTAAATAAAGCAATTTACACAGCCATATTATGCTTTAAGAAAGAAACAGCATGTATGAAACAGAATTTGAAGATGAAGAACAGTTATTATACTCATAAGTCCAATCAAACAATAAGGTTTATAAGCAAAACAGACTAGGGCCACTAAAACAGCAACTGGGTCAGGTGTCTTCGAGGAGTAAGCATCCCTTGTCGATCAGTAACAACTGCAATGTGGTCCCTGTCGTCACCAGGTAAACGGAAAATTGGTAGACAATATTTTCGTTGAAAACTAGTTCTAATTGGAACGGAGACCCTTGCAGATGTTCCCAAACGCAGCACATACTCCCTTTGAGGCCCCATATGATTCAACACATTAAGCAAAACCTTTGTATTATAAACTTTAAAACCTTATTTGCAAAAGTATTTTGAAGAAATAACAATGCAAATATGGTAAGGTAAGCATAAGCATTTCAGCTTTAAGTACACGAGCAAGCACATGAAATAACCATTTACAGGTCCGTGTTTGCTCTGCTCCTGATTTGTTTAAATTGACTATGAGCTTGAATATTGTTCGTTATCTCCATATTTCACGTACAAAAATTGATAGAATGCAATAATTGAAAAGAATTTAACTAAAAACATAGAAAGTTAAAGCAACGTGAATATTAAGCAATCAGAAATCTGTGTGCATATCTTCATTTTCATTTCTGATGATTGAATAATGTAGGAACTTTTATTATTTGTATATACTCTGAATTTCATCTTTCGTTAACAATTCTGAATGTTATAAATACTAACAAACAGCCAATTAGATATCAGCACACGCGTACGTGCTTGCGCGTTATTTCTAGATTTCTAACATATGTATTCATATATATAGTGCCTTATAACATATGCCAGTGTTTTAAATTTCAAAGAATTATATTGAATAGTAAGAGAGATACAACCTTTAAACTATTAACCAATCAGATTTCAGCACACTTGCATGCATGTCCTTGCATTCAATTTCGATAGTAGCACAATGTAGGAACCCATTTTACCTATCCATATTCTAAATTTCATTCTGTTTGGTTGAAATCTAAAGACGTTATAGCCATTTAATGTTTCAGCCAATCAAATTGCAAAACACGTGCATGCGCGTGTTTCCAAGAATTTCGGTATATAACCTCATGTAGAACCTTATAATATATACCTATAAAATTTCTAAGGATTTTGTCAAAAAACAAGG